TTTGTAAGATGGAGTTTCACCATAATGGCCAGGCTGGTCTTGAACTCCTGACCTCAGGTGATCCACCCACCTCAGCCTCCCAAAGTGCTAGGATTACAGGCGTGAGCCACCGCGCCCGGCCCCGGAATCCCCTTCTGACACTGTCTCCTCTCTGCCTGCCCGCTCCAGACCTATGAGCAGCGAAAAGTTGTGGAGTTCACGTGCCAAACAGCCTTTTTTGTCACCATCGTGCTTGTGCAGTGGGCGGATCTCATCGTCTCCAAGACCCGCCGCAACTCAGTTTTCCAGCAGGGCATGAGGTGAGCCTCCCACCAAAATCCCCAGCGCTCTCCCAGGCCCCACACACCAGGACATCCTATTTCCCCCTGCCTTTTCCTCTCCCTTACTGTCACACCCTTTCATGTTTCTTCCCAGAAACAAAATCCTAATATTCGGGATCCTGGAGGAGACATTCTTGGCTGCATTTCTGTCCTACACTCCAGGCATGGATGTGGCCCTGCGAATGTACCCGCTCAAGTGAGTAAGGGAAGGGATGCCCAGGAGTGGGGGAGCATGTGAGAGGAAGGGTATGCTTCACTAGGACGGTCAAAAGCCAGGAGCTGCCTGGATACATGGCGCTACATGTACACTCAGTGATACGCGGAGGGTCAGCAGAGCTCTGATCAGTGGATCTTATTTAGGGAGATATTAGAGACTGCACCAAATGATCACAACCCACTAGACACACAAATTTAGCAGACTTAACAACGTTTAACAGAGTGAAATCTTTTTCATGGTGATGTGTGCTGTCGTTGTCCAAGGATACATATTGCTTGGAGCTGAAGTAACCATAAAAATAGCCTAATCTATGCTTAGCTAATTCCGTTGTACTTATGCAAATATGTTTTAATGTAGATGTATGTGATCGTGCCTACTGAAGTTCTTATTGTCTGGTGCCTTGTCTTGTTCAATTCCAGGTTTTTGCTTTGTTTTGCTTTGCATTAACATTAGTATATGCTTGATGTGAAAAAAAATTCTATTTAAAAATGTACAGAGAAGAAAGCAAATGTTCCATTCCATTCCCATCCCCATTACCCAACCCAACTTACATAACTAGCCTCAGTTAATGATCGAGTACGTATTCTTCCAACACATTTTCTATGCATGTACGTACTCTGCTCCCCTTTCCATCCCTTGTAGTGTTTTACGCGATGCTTTATACGTCGTAGACACTCAATTAGTGTTTAATAGGAGACATTGGCACTGGACTTAGATACTGACAACTCCAGGTGGAATTCTCAACTCTACTGTGCATTATTCTGTGACCTTGGACAAGGACGTAACCATTCTGAGCCTCAGCTACACCTGCAAAGTCTCAATAATACACTCCAGGGATGGACCTGGCAGAGCATTGTGACATTTACACATAGAAATGAGTATAAAGCACCAAATAGGCTTGGGTCATGGTGGACACTTTGTTACTAGTAGCTTCATTCTTGTTGCTATTAATGTCATTATAGACATAATAACAAATGTGTTCACCTTAACCATAAAACTTAGCACCTGATATGGTGATTCTGTATTCTGTGTGTGTGTGTGTGTGTGTGTGTGTCTGTGTGTGTTCACCCCTTTTTCTTTGATTCCCCTGAGCTTCTTGAGATTAGACCAACACGTTATCATTTTTATTTCCCCGATACCTAAGGCAGACACAAATTATATACAACAATTTTTTGTTGAATGAAGGGGTGGGGTGGCTATTTGTATAGAAATGTGTATATTTGTGTGTGTGTGGAATGAGCTGGGGCCTAGGACTGTACTGTCCCATATGGCGGCCACTATCCATATACGACTATTGTGCCTTTGACATGTGGCTAGTGAGACTGGGGAAGTAAATTGTAAATTTGTAATTTTATTTAATTTTAATTAAAGTCAAAAACTAAAGCAATGTGAAATATTTTTCTATATTACAACTTCATTATTTCGTTTGAACTACATTTCCCATTTCACTGTTGAAAATCTTGTGTCTGAGCACAGACATGTTGTCAGTAAAAAATATTCACTGAATTTCCAGGACTTAGGATGAAAAGAAGGTAAAATCTCTTATTGATAATGCTTATATTGAAGCGGGGTGTAATGGCTCCAATCCCAGCACTTCGGGAGGCCAAGGTGGGAGGATCGCTTAAGGCCAGGAGTTCAAGACTAGCCTGCACAACAAAGTGAGACATCGTCTCAACAAAAAAAGTTTAAAAATTAGCCAGGTGTCGCAGTGCACACCCACGGTCCCAGCTGCTCAAGAGTCTGAGGCAGGAAGATAACTTGAGCCCAGGAGTTCAAGACTGCAGTGAGTTATGATCGTGCCACTGCACTCCAGCCTGGACCTCAGAGCATGTCCCTGTCTCTAAAAAAAAAAAAATTAAATCTAATTAAAAGAAATGTTTACATTGATTACATATTTAAATGATAATGTTTTTGATATATTGGGTTATATAAAAATATTAAAACTGGGCCGGGCGCGGTGGCTCACGCCTGTAATCCCAGCACTTTGGGAGGCCGAGGCAGGTGGATCACAAGGTCAAGAGATCGAGACCATCCTGGTCAACATGGTGAAACCCCGTCTCTACTAAAAATACAAAAAATCAGCTGGGCATGGTGGCACGTGCCTGTAATCCCAGCTACTCAGGAGGCTGAGGCAGGAGAATTGCCTGAACCCAGGAGGCGGAGGCTGCGGTGAGCCGAGATCGCGCCATTGCACTCCAGCCTGGGTAACGAGAGCGAAACTCCGTCTCAAAAAAAAAAAAAAAAAAATTAAAACTGCCGGGCCCAGTGGCTCAAGCTTGTAATCCCAGCACTTTGGGAGGCCGAGATGGGTGGAACACGAGGTCCGGAGTTCAAGACCAGCCTGGCCAAGATGGTGAAACCCCATCTCAATATTTTCTAAAACAATTTAAAAATTTATAAAAAATAAAAACAAAAACACCACAAAAAATTATTAAAATTAATTTCACCTGTTTCATTTTACTTATGTGAATGTGGATACTAGAAAATGTGAAATTTGACAAGTGGCTCATGTTATATTTCTATTGGACAGTGCTGGTCTAGGCCATTTCTTCTGTCATCCAAGGGAACAACTGCTGTCCTGATTCAACCCCTCCCCAGAATCCATCTTCCTGGTCTAATTATAAAAAGAGGTTTACGAAGAAAACACTGTCCCCATCTTTGTAACAGGGAAGCATCTATACATTCGCGGACAGCCCACACTAGCTGTCTCAGATAGACCCATCCTGCTCAGACAACCTCCCTTTTGTGGGTTTAAGCACTAGAGTGGGCAGAGAGCAAAGGGATCTCCCTCAGTGACTCCACAAAAGTTGGTAGAGAATCTCGTGACCACTGCATGTAGCTCTAATATGACATTTATCATACTATATCATCACTGGCTTTTTTTTTTTTTTTTGAGATGGAGTTTCGCTCTTGTTACCCAGGCTGGAGTGCAATGGCACGATCTCAGCTCACCGCAACCTCTGTCTCCTGGGTTCAAGCAATTCTCCTGCCTCAGCCTCCCGAGTAGCTGGGATTACAGGCACGCACCACCATGCCCAGCTAATTTTTTGCATTTTTTAGTAGAGATGGTGTTTCACTTTGTTGACCAGGATGGTCTCGATCTCTTGACCTCATGATCCACCCGTCTCGGCCTCCCAAAGTGCTGGGATTATAGGCGTGAGCCACCGTGCCCGGCCATCATCACTGGCTTTTTATGTTTCTGTCTCGTGCCTCTTCTCTCTACCCCCAATCACTAAACCCACAGGTTTTGACCACCTCGAAGGCAGGGCTCAGGCCGGGCATGGTGGCTCCTGCCTATGATCCTAGCACTTTGGGAGGCCGAAGCAGACGGATTGCCTGAGGTCAGGAGTTCAAGACCAGCCTGGGCAATTCGGTGAAACCCTGTCTCTACTAAAAATACTAAAAATAGCTGGGTGTGGTGGTACGCACCTGGAATCTCAGCTACTCAGGAGGCTAAGGCACGAGAATCGCTTAAATCTGGGGGGCGGAGGTTGCAATGAGCCAAGATCGTGCCATCCCACTCCAGCTTGGGCAACAAGAGTAAAACTCCATTGCACTCCAGCCTGGGCAGCAGAACGAGACTGTCTCAAAAAAAAAAAAAAAAGGTAAGGATCAACTAGATCTTACTCAACCGCACTGTCTCCAGCACCCAGCTCGGTCCCAGACACACAGTAGACACAAGAAATAAAACACGTGGTTCCTGTCCTCTGACCTCTGTCTCTCCTGCCATGCTGACTGGCTCTTGCTCTCCACAGGATAAGCTGGTGGTTCTGTGCCCTTCCCTACAGCATTCTCATCTTCGTCTACGATGAAATCAGAAAACTCCTCATCCGTCAGCGGCCAGGTGGTAAGGCTTCCCTGGGCCCTGCTCCGACTGAGTTGTCACCAGCCCCCTGACTAGCTCTCCCGTCCTGCCTGGACCCTCCAGGCCCAACACTGACTTTCTCCCCTCCTCACTGCCAGCCTTGACTGTGCCTGAAGCCCAGCCCTCTCTGCCCCTTGGCTGCACCCCCTGTTCCATCTGACCCTCAGTGCCCTGTGTTCCGGACCGCCCGCCTCCAACCTTGCCCCTCTCTCCCTGCTGCCTGTCTCCCCGGGTGCCTCCTCTGCCTTCCTCCAGTTCACACTGCCTCTTTTCTTCCACAGGCTGGGTGGAGAGGGAGACCTACTACTAAACTCAGCAGAGGAAGAGCTTCATGTGACACAGGGTGTCGTGAGACGGGGGGGAGGACAGAGATTATAAGTTTGACACAACATCTGAGACCCTAGGATGAATTACCTTGGATGAGAAAGACGCAATCCTGGGATAGCTTGAGGGCAGAAGATGAGGTGGGCTTAAGGGAAGCCCAGCCTGCGTCTAGCTGGAGCCCGGCAGGGAGGGGTATGGGCCTGCTGAATCCCATAGCCAGTCTAGACAGTAAATATCTGGAAAAGCCCTCACCGGCTGGATGTGTCCAATCTGATCTGGGGGTAGTGAGGATTACGGCGAAGCTCCCTCCGCAGGTCTTCATGATGACCAGCCTGGGGAAATCTTTTGAGGACCAGAGTCAAGGCCGGGATAGGATCACTATCAAGTGTCCTTGCCAATTAAGGACTACGCCCCATCTTAAAGTCACTCTCTGAGCCACTGGACAGCAAGGACAGGGCAAATGACCACCTCCAAAGTCCAGTTGAGATCAGAGAAATGGAAGGTGGGGGAGAGAGGAGCCACTGAGCCTCACACGGGAGAGGGTCCACAGCATCTGCACAAGGGGCGGGGGGTGGACTCATCCGACCCCACCTTGCAGTTCCTGAGACCAGCTTGCAGACCACAGCACTGTGGTACTAGAAGAGATCTGATTGCATCAGTGAAAAGCCCGAGGTCCACAGAGGTTAAATGACTTGGGAACGGCCATGTGCTGAGCGGTGTCTCTCACCTGAGAAAGGGACAGGTAGGAGGGACAGACTCCAGGCAGACTGGTGGTCCCTGCCCTCTGCCCTCTGTCATCAGGGCTCCTCAGCCCCATCCCAACCCTTAGCCTGTTTTCTCTGGTGTAGCCTCAAGATAGAGGCTGTAATAAGACTTTCTGAATCCCTGTGGCCTTTGCTGTAGGCAAAACAGCCTCCTCTGCTCTGCATGGGGTGATGGACCTTCCCAAGAGCCTGCCTCTGTGCCTGGTCCCAGGGGCCTTCTCAGATGAGCAAAAAGTCCTGGGGGCACTTTCCCTCCTGCCCACCTTCATCTCCGAGTTTCCTCCTTCCCCTTCGCCCGCTCATTCACTTCCGCTCTGTGAACCCCTCCACTGTGCCCTGTGGGTCAGTTCATTCTCAGGCCTCTTTCAGAATAGAGCATTGGCTGTGCCCAAAAGTACACAGGGTGGGAGAGAAATGCTAAAGAAAGCTAGGGTAAAACCATCAGCTAGCACCCAAAGCAAAACACAGGCGCTGGGTGTCTGCACGCTACACCTAACACTGGGACGAGGGTCTTAGATACACCATCGACTGACTCACAAACACGTTTCCCCACCACCCATTCCGTTTTATCCAAGAAGGAACCAAGGTCTGCCAGTTTTCAGAACGTGTACCCTTAATCACTTTCAGACTATTCTTTCAATGAGGGTGGGGCCAAAAATACACAAAAACAAAACAAAACAAAAACAAAAAAATAGGATAGTGATGGGGAAGGACCCCGGGTGGGTCTGGAGGGCGACAGGCGACAGGCTATCGAGAGAAGGCCGTCATGAGTATAACCAGCTGTTTTCCCTACATCAGGCCCCTCCGCAGAGGTCGCTCTCCCTCTTCCCCTCCCTCTTCCAACACAAGGTCTCCTAGGGACAGTGCTATATCAGCCTGGGGTCTTTCCCCAGTTGCTGACATGGCTGAACCAGACCCTGGAAGATCAATGGGCCAGGGTGTATGTGAGTGAGGTGGGAAGCGGGAGCACAGAGGGGCCAGCTCCTCGGGTTTCAGTAGCAGGAGCTTCAGGTGTCTGGTGGGTTAAAAATACAGAGGTCCTAACTCACGGTCATTTGATAGCAGTGGCTGAGGCTTCTTAAGTCCAAGGGCCTGAAGGGAAGGAAATTGAATAGAGAGAACAAACCATCAAGAGAGAGCAGTGGAGGCGGTTGCTGGAAAGGGGAGGGGTAGGACTGGAGCCAGAGAGGGCAACGAGAGGGAACAGGATGGATGGCAATGTCCGATAATGCAGGAGAGGACCCGGAGACGGAGCAGGCTCATCCACCAGAGTCCCATCTCACACTCTCGGGGGTACAAAAGGTCAGATTCAAGATGGAACAAGTTTTATGTTCCAGCATCTCTGTCCCAATGTGTCCCCCTCCCTTGGAATGCAGAAGTGACAAATCCGGGCTGGACGTCACCCAGGTCATCTGCTTCCGGGCAGGCCTCCCCGTCTCACCTGGCCCTCTTCGCTCTGGACATGGAGCTTTCCCACGTTAGTCACTCTGCAGGGAGCCCAGGATACAGGCTTCTGAGGTCTCTCCAGCTCTAACGTGCTGTGCCTAGGCTAGCTCCGACCTCTCCTGCTGCAGCGACAGCTGTCCCTCTCGGCGTCACTCCTGCCATGTTTCTGAGATTTTCTGTGGCCTTCCTTGTTTAGCTGTGGAAGGTCTAAGACGTGTGGAAAAGTTATTCTGCTAACATAATTCCATGGCCCTGCCTGGATGCAAAAACACAACACGACACTGTCCCCCTAGAACCAGACATACCCCAGGGTGGGGTGGCAGCATGTGACTTTGATCTAACCCTCCATGGTCTCCCTTATTGCTCAGTTTACCTGTGCATAAGAACCCTGGAGGACCATGAAGAGGGCCCTTCCTTCCTACGTGTCCAGAGTTGAACTCATTGCTCTGTCCTCACACGCAAGCTGGATCCAGAAGTTTAAGCCCCTACCCGCCCAACTCTGCTTTGGATTTTGGGTGCACAGAATTAATCAACAGCCTTACAGTGTTCCCTTCTTTGTGTTTACCTAATGTTAATTTTTTTCCCCCAGTGTTTATATCTGATTCTCTTTGTCTTGTCAAAGATGTGGGAATAAATAGTAGCTATTCACTCTCCTTGAGAGCATGCAGCCTGGGAAATCCTGCCTTCCCACTGTGCCCCAGAAAACCCAGTCCCATCGGATCAGGGTAGGGAGCACACACACAGGTGGCAACCAAACGACAGTCCTCTTCTCGTCGTGGGCCCAAGCCCACATCTCTACAGGGCAGGATCTGGGCCAGCCCCATCCTTCCCTGCATTCCCAAGTTAGGAATGTTGAGTGAGGCAAAGGAAACTGGCTGGAGCTGAGCCAGGTCGCCAGTCTTGGACGCAGCTCCATCTTTTATTCAGAGAATGACCTCATCCTTGGTCCTGGTTCTTTAGAGAAAAGTGCAGGGGGTCTCTTTCCTGCAGCCTGGCTTACACTTGTATTGCCCCACTCTCTTACCTAGGATCAAAGAATCAGAATCAGACTTCACCTACAGAAGATTCCCAGGCTGCAGGACATAGAGCCGATACCACATTTGTCCCCCTTTTGTCCTACATTAGCAATGTAGCCTCTGACCCAGTTAGCTCCTCCTCTCCACTGCATTTAACTTCTAATTACCCTTGCCCTACCCTCAGCCCTCACCAATTACCCTTATACCTCCCCTCCCCCAGCCCTAGCTTCATTTACCTCCGACTCATCTGCTCTTATTTTTAGCTCCGGCCTCTCTCCTTTTCCTTTCTTAATATGGCGATGAGCTCTTAGGCCAGCATGGGGACCAGGGCTGAGGTGCCCCAGACACTGCAGGAGGGGGAGGGAAGGAGCCCCTGGGAGCCTGGTGGAGAAACGTAGGAGGTAGGAGGATTCCAGCCCACATGGAGCTGTCCTGGCCTCAGAAGGTTATCCATCTCTCCTGCCAACCACGGAGACGTATTTAGACAGGACCAGGTGGGGACTAGGAGTGCCAATTTCAGGGGGCAGCTCCGGTTCCCTCCCCGCCCCCTGCTCCTATTCCTCCTCCTGACCCTTTTTCCCTTGGCTCTGTCGGCAGTTTCTCCAGGACCCAGCACTGTCGTCTGTCCACCGCTCTGGGCCATTCCCCAACCCCACCTCCCACTCGCGCCCCTAACTCAGAATCTGGGACCCAGGGGCCCCTCCCTACCCCAGCTAACCTCTTCTGGACCAGGAGAGCCAACCCAGCTCCCACTAGCTCCATGAGTGCTACAGACAGGATGGGGGCCAGAGCTGTGCCGGGTCTGCGGCTGGCACTGCTGTTGCTGCTGGTGCTAGGGACGCCCAAGTCAGGGGTACAGGGGGAGGAAGGGCTGGACTTCCCTGAGTACGATGGTGTGGACCGTGTGGTCAATGTCAATGCAAAGAACTACAAGAATGTGTTCAAGAAGTATGAGGTGCTGGCCCTCCTCTACCATGAGCCCCCCGAGGATGACAAGGCCTCGCAAAGACAATTTGAGATGGAGGAGCTGATCCTGGAGGTGAGTTGGGGGCACTGCAGGCCCGCAGAGCATGCCTCGCCCCTCTCTGGGACCCCCTAGCCCACACCCGTGTAGCGCTTTGAGGATGGAATCTGGGGGTGAGGGGCAGTGTGGCAGGACCCCTGTCTTGACCAACAGGGCGCAAATGGCATGTGGCTTTAATTGAATGAGAAACAGAGACTCAGGGACCCAGAAGAACTATCATCGTTAGGTAATCCTTTCAACGGGGTACTGCAGGAAGAGCTCCCCTCCCTGGTGTAGGAGGCTGGTAGCATTTGACTTAGGTTTGGCTAGAACACTGGGGGGAAAGAAGGGAGGTACCTCGAGGGCCCGGGGAGAACAGCAGTATACATTGCACTCCCCTACCTCACCCATCTACTTAGCCAGAACGTGTCTCCTCCACATACTTCAGGGGCTGCACCCCAACAAGATCCAAATTGAATATAAATGTAAATGTTGTGACACTTGCATGCCGTGTTTAAATGTCTCCCAGAGACCATGCCTCCCATTGGCCTCGCAGTCCCCTCTCTCTCCTTCCCCCTCCCTAATTCCCCATTTGTCTCTGTTGGATCAAGCTGGACGCCCTCACTGGAAAATTCTGATGGTTGCAGGAAGTGTCAGAATGTCTTCCCCAATCTTCTCTTTGTGGGAAGAGTCTTCTCACCTCCAAACTGGCTACAGGCCCAAAGGAGAAAGGAGTTATCATAAAAAAAAATCCTATGTTTGGGAATGACTGGGAGACGTGGTCACATACACCCCTTTAGGAGCTGGGATATGTGAGTTTTCTTGTCCAAGCTCCTGTGCTCCCTTCTCTGACTTGGCATGCAGATAGGCCCCAGCCTGTCCAGAGCGTGCAGCGTTTCAGGGTGAGACACCAGAACCACAGACTCTCATTCTGGGCACTCCGCTGTGTGCTAGAACCTGCCATCTGATTAATGAGCTGAGTATTTTTATCCTGAGTGCTCAGTATCCCTGGCCGTCC